ATGATTTCCCGCGCTGTTGGAGTCCTTTTCACAATGTCCTTGCCTATGGAAAAGTATTACCTCTACGTTTTCCTCTAGCAATCCCAAGCTTTCGGGTGTTTCATTAAAGCCTTTGACCCACTTTGAGTTGATTTTGCGTAGGGTCAGAGATATAGATCTAATTTCCTTCTTCTGCGTTTGGATACCCATTTTTCCCTGTACATCTGTTAGAGAGGCAGTCTTCTTGCCAATCTACTTTTTGACACTTTACACAGATGTGGAGCGACTGTAGCTAGGTGTTCATTTCTATACCCTCTGTTTTCCTCTACTGTGTTCCTGGTTTTGTACCAGCGTCAGCCATCTTTAGCACTGTGGCTCTGCAGGATAACTTGAAAACAGGTATTATGATACATCCAGCATTGCTCTGCTGAAGATTGCCTTGATGGTTCAGGGTCTCTTATGGTATCATAAAAACTTTAGGATTGTTTTTTCTCGCTCTTTGAAGAGCATTGTTAAAATTTTGATGGGCATATCATTGAATCTATAAGGCAAAGCACTTTCAGCTACTATAGCCATTTTCACAACATTAACCCTGCCATCCCTGAGCACGGATGGGCTATCTGTCTTCCAGTGACCTCTTCAGTTTCTTTCTTGAGCACCTTGTTTTCATTGTTGAAGTCTTTGACCTGCTTGGTTAGGTTTACTCCCAGGACACTTTGAGCTATTGAGAATAAGACATTTTTCCTGATTTCTTTCTTGGTAAGTTCTTTATTGGTAGATATAAAAGCTACTGAATGTATATCCTTCTACATTGCTGGAAGTATTCAAGAGTTTTCCACTGGATTCTCTGGAGTCTTGTAATTATAGAATCATGTCCTTTGCAAATAGGTATTATTTATCTTCTTTCTGTCTGTGTTTCTTTCTCTTCTCTCATTGTTCTAGCTAAGATCTTATTATATGGAATAGAAGTAGAGAAAATGAGAATCCTTATTGGTTTCTGGTTTTAAAGGAAGTGCTGGCTTTTGCTTTTTTAGTTGTGTTTTGTATACTGTTGCCTATGGTGTTGTCATACATAACCCTTTATTATTTTGAGATACCTTCTTTTTCCCAAATAATTTTTTGTTAATTATTTGGGACCTTCATACAGTGCACTCCAATCACACATGTTTCCCATTCCTCCCAAATCCACACTCCCACCCTTGTGACCGCCCCCAAACAAAAAACCAAAAAACCACTAAGTCCAATTCACATTGCCCATATACCTATCAGAGCCTGGTCAAACTCTCAGCGGCCAGCCCCTCAAAGAAAACTGAATCCTTACCCACCCCAACCCCACCAGAAGCCATCAACCGTGAAGAGCCACACCTCAGCATCTCCACCACAAGTCTTAAGCACTCCCCTCGATAGCCTCATGTCTGTCTCTTTTTCTTTTGGGGAGAGGGAGAGGGCAGGAGAGGTTGGTGCAGAAGCCGTCACTATCTCTCATTCTCAGTTATGAGTCTGCAGTCATTAATACCACTGCAAAAGATGTCTCCCTGTCCATGACATCAGTTTGGCTGTAGTTTCCTTAATGTATTCATAAGTTGATAATTTTTACATCTATGTTCATTAGATCACTTAGTCTATAATTTTCTTTTTCATTTTGCCTTTATCTGGTTTGGTTATCAGGTTAATACTGTATTAACAGAAGTCATTTGGTAGTGTCCCTCCCTCTATTTTTGTGGAACAATTTGAAAAGCAGTGCCATAATCCCTTCTTGGGAAGTCTGATAAAAAAAATTCACCACTGAATCCAGGTAGTGGTGGCCCATGCCTTTAATCCCAGAACTCGGGAGGCAGAGACAGGTGGATCTCTAAGTTTAAGGCCAGCCTGGTCTACAGAGTCAATTCCAGGACAGCCAGAGCTACGCAGACAAACCCTGTTTTGGGGAGGGGGGAGTCATCACTAAATCCATTCAGTCCTTTGCTTTTCTATGGAGCAGGTGTTAAATTACTACTTCAATTCTATTGCTTGTTATGGGTGCGCATAAGTTGTTTATATCTTAATGTTAGCAGGTCATATATGCTGAAAGACTCGTGTGTTTCTTCTGGATTTTTCCAAAGATTTCTTTAAAACCTTTCTAAAAGTACTCCCCCAATCACTGTCTAGATTTCATTGGATTCTTTGTGACATTTTAAGCTATAATTTTACCGATTTGAATAAATTAGTAATTCTTTCTTTTGGTTAATTGGAAAACGTTTTGTTTGATTTGCTATATGTAGTTTTTTCTTCATTTTGTTACTGTATGCCAGTTTGAGGTTTAGTGTGCCCTTGTGTATCTAAGAGTTTGAGGTTCATTGTTGGATTATTTATTTTAGCTATCTGTATCCTTTTATTTATTTAAGATACGAGCACTTGCAGCTGTAGACATAAACATTCCTCTTAGAGCTGTCTTGGCTGGCTGTATCCTTGGGGTTTGGAGATGTTTGTATTGCCACATTTAATTCTTTTTTTAAATTTCTTCACAGATTGCTTAAATGACCCACTTTTCACTTAAAATTGTACTCTTCAATTTCCATTTCCAATTCTTTCTCTGGTTTTGTTGGTTTCTTTTGCTGTCGATTTTCTAGCTTAGCCCTGCCATTGTCTAATAACATAAAATTAACAATTTCAATTATTCTGTTTTTAGTTTCAATGTTTTAATGTTTCAGTTATGTGTGTGTGCACACGTGTAAGCGGGTATGTTCACCTTACTGTGTTTTTTATACAGAGGTCAGTGGCTTCGGGTGTCCCAGATCTAGAGTTACACGTGATTGTGAACTGCCCAACATAGATGCTGAGAACTGAGTTTGGGTCCTTTGCCACAGCAATACATACTCTTGACCACTGAATTATCTCTCTAGCCCCAATTCTGTATTTCTTAAGGTGTCTAACAATGTATCATTTTTAGATAAAGATTCATTGGGCTACTGAGAAGAATGGCTGCTCACTATCTGTTGGATAGGGTAAATCGGCAGGCATTTGTTAAAGTCAGTTGATCTATGGTGTACTCTAACTCCAAGTTTCCTCATTAAGTTCTAGCTTTAAAAAGATCTATCTAAAGATGAGATACCTGAATATCCTTTCATGACTTTGTTTTGTGAGATTGGAGGCCTCAGAATTTGGGTGTGTAAATATGTAAACTGGTGATTCTTCTTGGTGACTTGTTCCCTCTTCTGTCTGGTTTTGACTTGAAGTCTACTTTATCAGCTATTACAGCTATACCAGATTATTTTTCAGCCTTCATTCCCATGTATGGTTGATTTATTTCCTTTGACTCTTGATTTGCCAGTGGGGTGTGTTCCTGGGAGAAAACAGATAATCAGATCTGTTGTTTGTTCTTTTTAATCCAGACAGCTAGTCTGAGCTTGGAAATGTTGAATAGAGTCCTTTGCATTTCAGGTTATTTTTTGATAGGAGTTCCTGTTTCCTATAGCTATGTCCATTGTGATTGGTTGAACTGTTGATGCCCGATTCCTTTTTTTTTTCCCCCTCCTGTATTTATTTTGCCTTAGTAGTCCTCACTTGGATTTATATTTCCTACCATGTCTGGGGGGGATGGGATCCAACTGCAAAGATGGATGGAATGATTGACAGCAGTCCTGTGTCAATTCCTCCAGGTTACTACTGCACTGTGTTGCTGCAGGCTATGGGTTTTTCCCCAGGGTTACTTTGTCTTCTCATGTAATGTGTTTTTTCCTACTTTCTCACAGATGAGCCTGTCATCCTTTCTCCGCTGTGTACAGTGTTCCTTTATTCCCTGCAGTGTTGACATAATCAGTGGGAACTGATTGCCTTAGTTTGTGCTTGTCTTGAAACGATATTTCTCCGTCCATTTTTTAAAAGATAACCTTGCTGGGTTATACAACCATGGTTTGGGGTTTCTCGGTTCAGGCCGTTAAATATATTACTTCTTGCTTTCCCAGCATCTATAGGAGATCTGGTGTTATTCTAATGGGCTTGCCTTTGTATGTGAGTTATCAGCACACTCCCCAAATTATAGATTGCTTTATATTTTTGACATCTTAGCTATGATATATTGTGAAATTATTCTCTGGACATCTATATTTGGGATTCTAAATGCCTCTTGTGTTGGATGTCTTTATCTAAGTTTGGAACTTTTTCTGTTATAATTTTATTGAATTAACGTTCTGTGCCTTTAGACTATAATCCAGCTCTTTCTTCTACCACATAGATTCTTAGGGTTTAGCTGCTGAGTGCATCCCAGAATTATTGCAGTTTGGGTCATATTCATTATATTTTAATGTATGTCAGAATGTATTACTGTCTCAACCTTGTCCCCTGTCCCTGAAATTCACTCTTCTTGGCTTTGTCTGTTGACCATGATCCCTACTGTGTCTTTTATTTGAACAATTGACTTTCATTTCCAACATTTCTGTCTAGTTCTTTTTCAAGCCCAGATATCCTTAATGAAGGTCTTACTATATGATTTTAAATTTATTCTCCAAATTACTGTTTAAACTACATTTTTTTCTATTTAGGCCCTGGAAAGGTCTCTTTACTTCATTCATCTGTCTGAGTCTTCTGTTCGATCTTTTGTTTCCTTTTGGTTTTGGATTTCCTGAGACAGGGTTTCACTGTGTAGCCTTGGCTATATACTCTATAGACCAGGCTGTCCTCAGACTCAAAAAGATCTGCCTGTCTCTGCCTACCAAGTGTTGCAATTAAAGGTGTGCACCACCACTGCTGGACTTGTTCACTTATTTTGTTCTTTTAATTAATTAATTAACTAATTTTCCCCAGCCTGATTACAGTTTCCCTTCCCTCTTCTCCAAGACCCTCCCCCTAACCTCCCCTCCAGCCACTCCCTTTCCCTTCAGAAAAGTCAGGCCTCCCATGTATTTCAGTCAGCCGTGGCATATCAAGTTGCAGCAAGACTAGGCACCTCCTCTCCTATTGAACCTGGGCAAGTCAACCCTGGAGGAGAAAGGGTCCCAAGAGCAGGCAACAAAGACAGAGATAGCCCTCTCTCCTTCTGCCAGGTGTCCCACAAGCAGACCAAGACACACAGCTGAAACAGATGTGCAGAGGGCCCAGGTCAGTCCCATGCAAGCTCTCTGGTCGGCAGTTCAGTCTCCATGAACGTCCATGAGCCCAGGTGAGTTGACTCTGTGTTTTCCCCTGGTGTCCTTAACCCCTCTGACTCCCATAATCCCTCCTCCTCATCTTCCACAAGATTTCTCAGGGTCTGCCTATTGTTTGGCTGGGGGTCTCTGCATCTGTTTGCATCAGTTGCTGGGTGAAGCCTCTCTGATGACAGCTGGGCTGGGCAATGACATATGTGTATAGCAGAGCATCATTAGGAATCATTTCATTGACTTTTTTTCTCTTTTTTACCAGTCATGTTTGGTTCTATCCTAGGCCTCCTGACTGTCCAGTCTCTGGGTCCTAGTCGTTGTCAGAGGTGGATTTCCTCTCATAGTGTGGGTCTCAATCTGGACCAGTAATTGGTTGGCTACTTCCATAATGTCTACACCACCATTGTGCCAGCATTTTCAGGCAAGGCAAATTAGCCACTTTGGAAATCAATATGGCAGTTGCTCAGAAAATTGGGAATCAGCCTACCTCAAGACACAATGATACTACTCAGGTATTTACCCAAAGGACTCTCTACTATACCACAAGGACACCTACTCAGCTAAGTCCATAGTAGCATTATTCATAATAGCCAGAAACTGGACACAACCTAGAAGTCCATCAACCAAAGAATGGTTAAAGAAAATGTGATACATTTAACGTCTGTTTAAAAAAAAAACAGTGACATCACGAAACTTGCTGGCAAATGGATGGAACTAGAAAAGATCATCCTGAGTAAGGTAACCCAGACAGGAAAGACAAACATGGTATGGACTCACGTATAGGAGGATATTAAGCTGTAAAATAAAGGGCAGCCATGTTACAGTCCACAGACCCAAAAAAGCTAAGTCACGAGGAAGGCACAAGGGGGGACACATGAATCTCACCGTGAAGGAAAACTAGAATAGACATCACGGGTGTACAGGGGAAGAGGTCTGGATGAGGGTGGGGATGGGAACAGGAGGGATCAGGTTGAGGGAGGATGAGGGGAGGGAGTACCGGGAAAGACAGTAAATACTGGAGTAGTATAGTGCAATGTAGTGCAATGGAAACTCCCAGGAATCTATGAGGGTGACCCTAGATATGGGAGACACAGAGCCTGAACTAGTCATCTCCTGTAACCAGGCAACCAGGCAAGACTTCCAGCTGAGGGACTGGGACCCCAAGCCAGCCACATAAACTTTGACCTACAGTTTGTTTACTTCTGAAATATTTTCTCAGCTCATTGCCTTAGGTTTTCGCTATTGTGGAGTTCGGAGCTTACGGAGCACTGTGCGATGTCCAAGAGGCCCACCACCCAGCACCCAAATAAATACATGAAGATTAGCTTGGCTTGTCTCTTGCCAGCTTTTCTTAACCTAAATTACCCCCATCTATCTTTGGCCTTTGGGGTTTTTACCTTTCTATATTCCTATATACCGTTTTTTCCCTTCTTACTCCATGTGTGGCTGAGAGGCTGCCCCTGATGTCCTCCTCTCCATGTTCTCTCGTTACTCTCTTCTTCCTCAATCCTCCTCCTCTTTATACTCTCTCCTTTCCAGTCCTGCCTTCTTTGTCCCTCCTTAGAACCCCTTCTCCACCTGGCTCCTCCCTGCATCTTCCTGTCAGCTAGCTGCTGACCCAGCCTCCCAACCACAGGTGAATTTTATTTCATCAAACACATCTTTGCATCATTAAACAAATGTTCCAGAGCACAAACAAAAGTAACACACTTCAAAACAATATTCTAAAACAGTGGAGAGTCATGCTGGCTTTTTTGTCATATTTATGTTTCTTTATTATACTTTGCATGTCTGTTGGAAGTGATGCGTCCTCTAGTTTTCCCCCCATTTTTTCATCTTCTTTTTGGCTTCTTTTATTTTATGAGTCTTCCTGGCAAGTTGTCTTAATGCTGTGTTTATGTTCCCCCGTACCGTTAAAGGGGCAGCCAACTGCCATAACAAGATATGACAGATGTCCTGGTTTTAATTAGCAGTAGAAGACTGTTAAATACTTCCCCCACATCATCAGTAGGGTTAGAGATGGTGGCAGTGGGTTTTTTGTTGGGGGAAATGTAGCTTATGGTTTTTCTGAGCTAAGAGGGCATTGATAATTAAGCAGTAAAATGGGGGAAGAAATGGGAGAAAGAGGAAGGTATGAGTGAGAGATGTAGCAATATAAGAAATGATAGAAAAGGTGTTGTTGAGTAGATGTAAAAAAAAACGATAATCATAAAACTAAGAAAGTGACACAGATGATGCTGTGACTTGGGGTTCCCCACCCCTTGGCTGTCTTTTCTAGCACTTGCTATAGGTGACAGGAAGGCTGCTCTGCTCAGTAATTCCAGTAAGTCAGTCTGTCTTTCCTGCTGAGAGAAAGACTCTAGTTCCTTTCAGAATCCCCCAGTTTGAGACCCTGGGCCTGACAGTTCCTATCTCCTCTCCAATGATTTGGAGACTGTGCTTATGCTCATGGGGGCTCTCTTTCTGCTGCTGGGGCTCTGATGGTGTGTGGAAGGCCCAAGCACTTGTAGCTGTGTTTAAGTGACTGGATGTTCTCTGAGGTAGAATGCTCCCTCTGTATGGTGGGAAGATGCTTTATTACCATTGGCTAATAAAGAAGCTGACTTGGCTAATGGCCAGGCAGAATAGAGCCAGGCTGGGAAATCCAAACAGTTATACAGGGAGAAAGAAGGTGGAGTCAAGGAAGTACCAGCATCCACAAGAGAGGCAAGATGTGAGGTAATAAGCCATGGGCCTCCTGGAGATGCACAGATTCATAGAAATGAGTTGGGAATTGCCTGAGCCATCAGTCAAAGATTTATAATTAATATAAGCCTCTGAGTGGTTATTCAGGAACTGGTGGGCAGGAGAGAAACTTCCAGCTACAGGTCTCATCTCCTCTGTCACACTTACTCATACCTATTAGGGAGACTGCTGTGGGATGTCTTTCTGTGTGCTGTGAATATGGGTTGCTCTCATTGGTTGGATAAATTAAGCGGCTTTGGCCTACAGCAAGGCAGGGTAGATCCAGGTGGGAAATCCAAGCAGAGATACAGGGGAAGACAGGAGGAGTCTGGAAGATGCCATCCAGCTGCCAAGGAAGCAAGATGTGTAAAAAATAAGGTAACAAGCCATGAACTACATGACAAAGCATAAATAAAAGTTATGGGTTAATTTAAATGTAAGAGCTAGTTAATGATCAGCCTGAGCCATCAGCCAAGCACTTATAAGTAATATTAAGCCTCTGAGTGGTTATTTGGGAACTGCCAGGTGAGAGAAAAACCTCCGGTTATATAACAGTGCCCAGTGTGGGGCAGCCATGATGGGAAGAAGTAACTGATCCTGAGAGAGGATGAGGAAAGTTCCAGGTCACCGAGCCGTGGCATCAGGAAGCCCTCCACATCCAAGAGAGTGCGCAGTCCTCTTCCATCACTTCTTAAAGGGGCACATATCCTCAGAGTAGACCATGCCCACTGAGCCAACCTATCCCATTCCACCGGTCATTAGACCCAATGGCCAAATCCCCACAACAGGAGACTGTGCAACACACTCTTCATGTCTACTGTGTTATTCAAAGGGGTGGGGCAGTGTCGGAAGTTTCTCCCAGGTTTCATTCCAAGGCACCAGGAGGGGAATCCCAGCATCATGCTCCCACTTCACACACCACATCCATCCTCACAGCCCTCACTGCTCTTCCTCCTCTCCATCCACAGAGCATCCAGCCCTAGCCAAGTCTCCCTAGGTGGTTAGTCTCTCTCTCCAGATTGCTCTTCCTCATCCTGGGTGTCTCACTCTTGGACATCTAGCCTAGACCTAGTTCTTTTTTATTTTTTCAATTTGTTTTCCTCTCATGGGAGTAGAAAGCTCTTTTCATCCTGATGTCTTTCATACCAGGTCACGCAGAGGCAACGTCTAATTTGCCATCTTACCTGGCATCTTTAAAGAAATAATATTCATCCTTACGCAAGAAAAAATATACGGTAGCATGAACTGCAAATTAAGTTGGTCGAACCGTAACTTTGTGCCTTGAAGTAGTTGGTCCGGAGCTCACAGATCTGGCTTGGGGAGGTCATCGGTAAGCACTTCCCCATAACAGCTTTTCTAAGATGACCTGTGAACCCCCTTTGAAGATACCATCACATCTCAGATACTGCACAGCTATTCACCAGAGCATTTCACAGAATCTATACATGGCAAGAAAAATCAATGACCGGACATCAGTAAACAGAAGTGTTTGACTTCATTCCAAGAAGAGACGTTTTGGACAGGGTGTTGCTTTCACCCAGGTCTCCCTGCATCTAGAGAGAATCTCAGATGCTGCGTTGCTCCACCCGGAAGATATTGAGTTAACCAGTGTGCTTGGGTTGCCAAAGACATAAACAGAAGTCGGAAAAAGTGGGTAAGCTCATTTGATAGTTGGAGTGACTTTCAAACATGGCTTAATAAAGATGAACTGTTATTTAAAAAATTTTCTTTCTGTCCATCTCTAAACTCTCCTTTCCTTCCTAGCTGCACCATTTTTCAGATTAGCTCTCCAACATTACTGCTAGAAGCTTTAGGCTTGCATGGTACTCACTGCCTGCAGCTGACTGAGAGTGTCTCCGACTACAAACAGTGCCATGAAAGACCTCTGAACACAAATGGGTCTCCTGGCCCTGACTTTGCACCACGTTCAGGGGCAGCAGAATGTGATGGATCCGGAAGTGGTGTCAACCCACTCAAAAAGAGTGAATTTAAAATAGAAAGGGGCGCCGGGCGGTGGTGCTTTAATCCCAGCACTCGGGAGGCAGAGGCAGGCGGATCTCTATGAGTTCGAGGCTGGGCTGGACAGACAGCCTCCAAAACAATACAGAGAAACCCTGTCTCGTAAAAACAAACAAACAAAAAAAATAGAAAGGGGCAAAATAAGGTTATGGGTTTTTTTTTCCAATAAAATGGACTCTATGCTAATTCTGAAGAAAGGGGGAGGAAGAAAAGGAGAAAGGGGAAAAAGAGGAGGAGGAAGGAGGAAGAGAATGGGAGGAGGAATAGAAGAAGTAGGAGGGCCGTAGCTGCCTCTGGGAGCTCTAAAAATCCGTGACTTGGTAGCTACAGCTTCTTGGGTGGTGCGTTCCTCTTTGCCCCTTACACTGTGACATCACACTACCTCTATCCACATGGTTAAGACAGACTCTTCCGGCCACTGAGACGGGAACCTGCCCCCTTGACTCATCCGCGTTACCGTACATCTTTAAATGCAGAGACACATACGAATCCATGTGGATGGGCAAAAAGGCAGAATTTTCCACCAAAAAAATAAAGTCCCACGGATTTCTGAGGCCAGAGTCCTGAGTAGACACAAATGTCCTGCTTTATTTCCACATTTGAAAGGGAGTGGCAACAACACTTGCTGTCCTCCTCTCCCAAGCCAAGTACTCGCACCAGCTTTTGGCTCCCAGCTTATTTCACAGACAATTTCCATCAACTAAGGGACTGGTCCCCGAGTACCCAAACCTTTTCCTACCGTGACAGTCTCCACCCACAGACCCCACAGCGTGATCCTCAGCACTCTTAACTGAATATTGAGTCTTGACTCACCTCCGGTATGTCAGGAAGACCCACCGTGTAGGAGAAACCGCAGCCAGCCTACCCAAGATGCAGGTGCCCACGCTAGCCGGCATGAGCGAGCATGCGCGGCAGGCACTTCCTCCCTGAGCCAAGCCTGCCTCAATCAATGCCCAGAGACTGCTGATGAAAAGAGACACCTGGCCCAGAGACGCCAATGAGGAAAGGACAACAGCAGAGTCAGCCGCCTGAGCCAATGGGACCTTGGGAGGGGGTATAAAGGCAGATCTAACTTCCTTAGTAAACACGTCTGCAGGCATTCTCTGCTACTCACTGACTCCCGGTGCCTGAGTCCTTGGTGCTGTGTCTTCTCACCCCCTTCCCCATGGGGTGTCCGAGCAGAGTCACCCTCAACACCACCTAACATTAGCAGGAAGGTCTGCACCCAAAGGCACTGTAGTCAGAGTTATATACTAACTGATGGGGCTTCGTGCCGTGGTAATGCTTTCTGCCAAGCTACTGTGTAAATTCTGCCAGTGTTAGACCAAGAACATTGCTTGGTTCTCAGGATAGGAGTGGATAGGGAAATGCGTGACTTGCATGCCTGGTTCTAGGAAAACACCCACCTTCAGTGATTCCGAAAGGATGGGAAAGGGAAAGAAATACAGTGAGTCTAGATGCCCTCCAGGAAAGGGTGACCCCAGCATGCACAGTCCTACAGAACTGTAAACATCTGCCATCTACAAGGTTAATGGGGTAGAGAAAGGTGGGGCATCAGGTGGGACTGTGGAGAGTCACAGAGAAAGAATTTTTGTAGAGCATGAGAAAGACACGCCTCATGCTATCCTCTTTCTGCTTCCAACCACCGGAAGCTGGAAGCAGAAAGCCAATGGGGTTCAAGGGCAAGATGCAGTGCAAACTTTGTTTTAAAGATTGCTTTATTATTTTATGTGTATGTGTGTTTTGCCTACATGTATGCATGTGTACCACATTACATGCCTGATGCCCACTAAGGTCAAAAGATATGATAGTTGTGAGCTACCATGTGGTTGGTTGCTGGGACTCAAACCTGGGTCCTCTGCAATTGCTCTTAACTGCTGAGCCAACTCCCCAGACCTAGAGAAGATGATGTCTCAACCAGGCTGTTCTGAGCACAACCCTTAACAAAGTGCCCAGGGCTATCCCCTCCACATCCTGGAAATCTAGACTAGCATCACCAATACCTCCCACATAAGAGAGCACAGGTTTTCAGAGAGCTTCCGTGCCTGCTCTGGGGCACACAGCTAGTCTTAGGTACAGCTAGAGGCTGTGCCAGGCACTGCACAGGTGCCCGTCTGGAGGTTTTTCTCCTGTTACCATGGCATTAGCTGTCTCTGAGGACCAGTGTGTTATTTTTGACCTGGGATTCCTAAGGGGCTCAAAGGTTAGATGCTTGGCTCTTTTAATTACTCATCCACCTGACAAAAGTCACCTTCATTAGGCTCTTGAAGGAAAGGAGGAGGCAGGGCTGGGCTCTCGGGTGGGTCTTTGCAACAAAGTTACTGAACCTTGCAGAAAGCCTCCTGCCTCTTTTTCCTTCCTTCCTGCTCCGCATTCCCAAGGTGCCACTTTTCGTCACTCACCCCTGCAGCTGAGCACTGCCCATGGCACCAAGCCCTTGGCCCAGTTGCATAGCTGGAGCTTTGTGTCTGAGTTTTCCATTCTTGCCTTAATGGAGGGAGTTCCTCAGCAGCATTCAGAGCCAGCAAAGTGTAGCTGGGTCTCCTTCCCAGCCTGCTTCCCTTCTCTGGCACTCCAGTCCCTACCTCAGCCAACTCTGAGAGTTGAACCTCTACCACCACAGAGAGGCCCCAGGTAGCAGGCAGATGTTAGAGCCTTCCTACCTGTCCCCTCGTCCCCACAGAATAGGTCTCCGCCCAAGAGGAAGACATGAACTCTCAGATTCACTCTGAGAGACAGACCTGAGGCACTGAGGAAACTGAGGAAAACCTGGAGCTACTTTTGGGTGTCTCCTGATGTGAATGTGGGTCCTGGTGAGAATAACACTGGGAGTGATGTCACTGTACAACAATACAAACAATAAAGGTGGCATTCGCTAAAGCTATCCACCCATCCCTGGCTTCCAAGTTCCCAACCCTCTTCATCCCTCTAGAGCTCATGCTTCTGGATTCCCACGCTCATCTAGAAGGCTACCCCACAACCTCAGAGTAGTCCCGGGGTCGGTCGAAGGCCTTCTCTGACGAGCTCACAGCAAAGGCATGATTAGTGGCAGCCACGATTGCCATCTCTGTGAGGTTGTGAGGCTATGGAGGTGACGAGAGGGACCTACCAGGACCACCCAGAGGCAGCTGGGATGCACCACTCCTGCAGGACTCTTAAGCGGCTGTGAGCATCCCAATGATCCCACCCGTCAGCCCATTTCCAGCCTCATGAAGCTAGAAATACGCCGGTTGGCTCCTCCCCTGACTGCTGCTGGTAGCCAAAAAGGAAGTTCCTGGGTTACTAGACAATGGGAAGGAAGAATGGTCACATAAGAGCCCCTCCCAGCACCTCGAAGACAGGAATAAACTCAGGAGTACTCTAAAGAGATTCTTTACTTCTATCTCTTCCTCCTCCCTCCACTCCTGTCTCACACCAAAGGGGCTCCACAGACACCCACCGGAACTGATAACTGGTGGCTGGTGGTGTCACTGAGGCCTGTTCTCCACCAGGCTCTAAGCATGTGCCCCTCTATTGCTTGGATTTTGCTGTGTGGTGGGCTATCCTCCTAGTCAACTCCACCATCACCTCCGAACAACTGTGTGAGTTGCTCTTGCCGACTTAGGTCCCACATAGCAATGTCCTTCCCAACTACACCCTTCAAGCCACCGTACCAAATCCTGAAAACTGACACCAACCTCCTTGTACCCCTGAGAGGAGTGGCCAGCTGCACCCCTGCCCCTACTCACTCCAGAGTCCCTTTGTCCCAAATCTCCATCTCTTTGAAGCCTTGGTTCAAAATGGTGTGTGAGCCCATTTTTCCTGTGAGAGTCAACCACCCTATTTCATCTTTCCCAGGTGGCTGCTCCCTGATCCAAGCCCAAGAAGTGATTTCTAAGCTATCAGGAAGAAGGCTCTTCCTTGGAAGAGAAACTCCCTAGTATGTGTATGAAAAACGTGTGCAAGCTTTGTTCCCAACCATGAGAAGTTAGAAAGCAACTGTGCGCCCATCTCTAGAGGATTGATCTATGAAATGTGGAGGAACACATCATGCTGTGTAACACTACATGGCGATTGAAAAGAATGATGCATACTGCGTTCACAGTTTCAAGGGCTGGGAAGGGTCTGTGGGTCTTAAGTCGGTCTTTGAGTGCCCCGGTGTGTTAGCAACGCATGCGCTTACGGAGTAGCTGGTTATTTCTGATGTTCTCTGCCTACCCCCCATTTCTTTAACAACTGGACCTCTGAGCTTAGCCGGTATCTGCTCTTGGTTACGCAGCTCCATCCGAGAGGGAAGAAGGAGGTTGCACTGGTATTTAAGAAGGATTTTCCTCTGGCTTTCCCACATAAGCTTTCTTTCTCTCAGGTTCCTGGCACACGGGCTGTCTGCGTGTGGCTCAGGGGCCTCGTGATCCCTCCCCGGCAGTCTGGAAGCTCGGGGGACGGAACCAGAAACAGTGGATGAGCCAACAATAATGGTAGAGGTGGGTGTCCCTCACCGCACAATGACAAGAGAAATGGGACAGTCCAGGACAGCGTAAGCTCAAGAGCTGTGGAGTCACCCAGTTGACTAGGAGGATCGTCCAGTACACAGCAAAAGTCTGAGCAATCGAGGGGCACATTCCTGGAGCCTCTCATGGAGAACAGGCCTCAGGGACGCCACCAGCCACCAGTTATCCACTCCAGTGGGTGTTCTTGGAGCCCC